AAAAAAAAAAAAAAAAAAAAAAAGAATGGCAGGTGCTACTTCAGGAGGGGGATTGTCAAGCAAAGTATGTGTCATTTGGCCTCAGGCTCCCTAGAATTTTGGATTGAGTTGGGATGTATGCAACCACATCATCATCAGTAGCCCTGAGCAAATAGCATCCCCCTGTAAGCCCTGTTTCTGGGACTTCAAACAGTGGTATATTAGTTAAGTGTAGTAGGTCTGGGGAAGGACCTGGGGCAGTGCCACTGCCCAGCCTGGACCTCCTCACTGCTGTGCTGATCGCTCAGATGGCTCACTTCTAACAGGTACCTCCCTGGCTGACCCCTTCCCTCTCCCCCTCCTCTAGACCCATAGACTGCTTCCTTAACACTGTCATCTCCAATGAAGCCAGATGGCCTTTGTCACATGGGCCATGTCACTTCACCCTAGGTCTATAGAGGCAGCAAGGCTGGCACCATAATACAGGTGCCTCGTGGCTGGAATTGTCTCCACAGTGTGTGGGAGGCCCGTGGTGACTGGGAAGATCTTTGGTGGCAAGAACGCACCTGACCAGCGGTGGCCATGGCAGGCCAGCTTGCTCTACCGTGGCAATCACATCTGTGGAGCAGCCCTCATTGATGCTTTCTGGGTGATCTCAGCTGCCCATTGCTTCCAAAAGTGAGTCTTCCCAAAGGGGCCCAAAATGCTCAGGGGTAGGGAGGGGAGGGAACACAAAATAGCCAGAAAAGAAGGGGGTATAGGGGATTGCAGCCTTTTTCTTACGCTTTGTTCTGGGATAGTTTGCTGCCACCAGGTGTCTCTGGGCACTGTTGCCTCTGCCCAGGTAGCAGTCTTCTCTACCTAGAATACCATCACTTCTCACCACCTGACTCCAGTCTTCTGACTGTCTGGGTCACTTCCCCCAGGACAGAGGCTAATTGCCTTATCTCTCCTCATGTGGATGTTCTTTTCCCCTCCATCTTTACACTTGGTAACATTTACCAAGATGGTGTGGTTGTCTTAGTTACATGTACATTATTTTTAAGTAGCTAAATGAAAATTGGCTCTAATTATGATTATCAGTAAATACTGGGAAACAGACTTTTGTTCCAAAGTAATTGCCTCCAGTTCACTCTTTTTCCTAAACTTTAGGAACCTAAATCCTGTTTCCACTCAAGGTAGACTCTGGTTTCTGCATCTTGCCCAGCTCTAGATGGTCCCACAAGATCCCAGTCAGTGGGCCTCAGTTTCCTCTTGTGCGAATGGTAGTTGGTGTGTAGTGTCCCTTGCCACACACCTGGCACAGGCTTCAGGCTTGAAGTCAGAGTGATAGTCCCAAGGCGCCCACTTCCCAAGACTGGAAGTGGGGAGCATCAGTCAGAGCCCAGTGTGGACAAGTATTTTGCCCCCTTTCAGCCAAGATGTCTGAAGGTCATCTCCAGCACAACTCCAGAGGTTTCCCTGGGTCTTGACTACCTGCATACTTGGCAGTTCTTTTCTAGAGGTGTGCTGGGACTCTGCATACCTAACTAGCACTTAGCCCTTCCTTTCACCCCTGTAGAACAGTGGCCTAAGAGGAGCTGTTGTCACCTAAGAGAAGCTGTCCTCACAGGCCAGAGTGAGGAATAAAGAAAATGTCCTCTGGCCCAGGAGATGGATGCAGTCAGGAGAGTGGGCTGCTCCTCAGGTGTATCCTGGGCTTACTCTGTGCCCAGAGGGAGTGACGAGGACATGATGTTCCACATCAGGAAGACAGAGCTACTGGCATCAGCTGGCTTTGAGACCCCACTTGGCTTCTATTCATTTATTCAGCACCCATGAATGCCAAGCCCCATGTGAAGCCTACTGTGGCTGATGTAGAGATGCAAGACTCCCCTTGAAACTTCTCATCTTATAAGTAAGACACAGTCCAACTACTGTGATTCAAGATAGAGAGACCATAATGTGTGAGAGGGTAAACCCTAAGCCAGTGTCAGGGGAGGTGCTGTAGGTCTCATCAGATGTTGGGCTTTGTGGTAGAAGGATCCAGGCATGGGGAGTCTGGGTAGGGGACAGCACAAGCAGGACATGTGAGTTGGAAGGTTGCTCATGTTCCAGAAACAAGGAACAGCTCCATGCACTCCTCTGTTGGCTCCACAAAGATTTGTTGAGTGCCTGTCACCAGATGGAGATCAGCCTTTAGAGAAGTTGGTGTGTACAAACTGGGAAGGAGGGGGGTGGACCATTCTGGGATGGGAAATGGGGTCTTTGAGAATCACTCCAGGCTGTGTGACCTTCCAAGGTTTCTAGTCAAAGCTGGGAATGAGCCAAGTCTCCTCTCTTCTAAAATGAAGGGATATAACTCGATGTACCCCTTCCTGTTTCCAGCACTAAGACTCTCTGCTCCTTTGATTCTGGGGCATGCTGGGAAAGCCATCAGTACCTTTCAAAGGATATATGTCCTGAGGCTATGGACAGCAATCAAACCACCTCAAGAAGGGAGGAGAGAAAACCACTGGAATAATGGTGGGATGTGGTTACTAACCAGGCAGGGGTGGGGAAGCAGTCAGAGTGGGAGTGCTGACCCAGCACTCAGAGGAGATGGGTGATAATGCAGCCTCTCCACAATAGGTCCCATGAGCCATCAGACTACCAAATCCTGCTAGGGTACCATAAGCTACAGCATCCCACCAAGCACAGCCTGCAGATGACGGTGAACCGAGTCATCGTCCACAGTGATTTTAACAAGCGCTACTTCATGGCAAGCGATGTCGCGTTGTTGCAGCTGCATCTGTCTGTTAACTTTACTTCCCATGTCCTCCCTGCCTGCCTCCCAAGGCCTAACACAGCACTGGCCCTTCATACCTCCTGCTGGATAACCGGTTGGGGAATGATCACTGAGGAAGGTGAGTGACAGAGGCAGAGAGGAAAGTGAGGTTGAGGAGGAGGGAGGGTGCAGTGACCACCGTGGGGCCCTTCCAGTCCTGATAGCATATCCTTTTAAAACTTCAAGTTTCCTTTAGTTCATGGTTCAAAAAGTCTGAGTATCTCTAACTTTTGGAATCAGGAACTTGAGCTGTTTGACTCTGAGCCATTCAGGATTCTAACCTGACTCCCAGGCCTTCCTTGGGTCAGACTCCTTCAGAGCTTCCTTTGCCAAACACTTCTTGAGCTCCTACTGCCACGGAAGGTACTTGGGAAGCAGTCAGGAAATGAAGCAGGCCTGCTTTCTGACCTGAGAGGTGGAATTGGGCATTTATGGCTTAATAACATTTACCTCTGAGAACCTCACTTCTCTTTATTCTAACTCAGGTAAAAGTTGACCATTCTGCCAGCTTACTGGACATTTTAGACAGAGAGAGGAGAAACGTTGGGCAAAGATTTTTACACAAGGGTAAATGCTTTTGATTTATGAAAACATAACACTGAGTGAAAAAATAGAATGTAAATTTGACATGATTGTAGGGTCATGATCAGGCAGAGCATCTCCGTGAAGGCATTTGGGGCAGGACTTTCTTTGCTGTGCACGCCAGTGCCAGCATCCCTGCTCCTGTACACTGTCAGTCACACTGCTTAATCATAAGAACAGCCAACTCTCCAACATTTCCAGAGACACCTTCCTGGGATGGACTCATTAAGAACCACTGGAACAGCAAAGATGATTCTCTAAGCCAGGTCAGAGAATGGGAGTTGGGGCATGAAGGGAAGTTATGAGCTGGAGCAGCCACTGGGAGAGGGAGCAGCTGCCATCAAAGAGAGACTCAGCCTGCAGTTGTCTTTCTCCCTCCACACCCTCCCCCTGACTGCAGTTACTGGGTCTGGGCTGCCCCTGAGATGACGTGTAAGGGCTGTACACAGCCCGCACTCCACAGGAGTGCAGTCACTATAGCATTGTGCTGCCTCATGAAGACACTAGGTCAGATCTGTGTGCAGTATCTGGAAATAGAATCTACAGGGAAGGTGTCCACACACCAGGTGCTCCTTGAGGCAAGGTCATGTTTTATTTGTCATACTACCTAACCCCATCACTGTTACACTTTGACCATGCCAGGACTCCTAGCTTCCACCCTCTGTACTTCTACTTCTGTCCCCACATAGCAGCCAGATTAATTGTTTTTAAAACTTAAGAAGACCCTTCAGTGGTTTCCCAGTGAGCTTAGAATGAAATCCAAACTCCACATCCTGGAGAGGAGGCCCTGCTTGCTCTGGACCCTGCTATGACTTTGCCTCATTTTTTCAACCCCTACTCTCACCCTGTTGCAGCTACACTGACCTCCATCCTGGTCCTTCCAACTGTACGCTGCTCACTTTTGCTCTGTTGTCTGCCTTGAATGTCTTTTCTCCTCACCATTGCACATCCTCTGAGAGGCTTCCCCAATCTTCTCAGCCAGAATGGCGGCCTCTTCTTTAGCAGACAGGTTAGGGAGGGAGTTGGCTCCACCGCACACCTGACCAAACCAACCCTCTCCCCTTGCAGAGTTCCTGGCTGAACCTTTACAACTGCAGGAGGGAGAGGTTGGCATCATAGACAACAAGATCTGTAAAAGATATTTCCAATCGCCAGACCACAGCAGCAGTAAATACTCTATACATGAGGACATGCTGTGCGCTGGGGACCTCAATACTGGAAAGTCTATCTGCCGAGTAAGTAAGACCAGATCCATATCTTCAGTCAGGGCTACCGCTGTGGCATCTCTCCCCTCTTTCTCTGTCTTCCCTGGACCCTTCCTCAGCCTCTGAATTCTTATTTCTAAGCCCACCCCAGTCAGAAGTGTCAGAGCCAAGAGACAAAAGCCACCAAAGAGTCCACTTCATCTGTTTTCTTCATATTTTTTAAAAAGCTTTGTTGAAGTACAGCATCCATAGGAAAGGGCACCATTTACAAGTGTGCCATCTGATGCATTATAGAAATTGATACACTCTTCATACCAGTACCCAAAGGGTCCTCTTTATACCCCTATCTTGTCATTAACCCTCAAAAAAAACACACCTGTAGTCTGTTTTCTAAAGCACAGTGACTTAGTGTCAGGACTTCCATACATGGAATCAATCATACTGGATGCACTCTCATCTGCTCTCTTTCAGTCAATGTTATGTTTGTGAGATTTATCTATCTTGTGTGTGGTTTATATTGTCTGTCTTATTGCTGAATATATCCATTGTGTGAATATACTATCATTTTATTTACCCATTCTAGTGTTGGTGGCACTTAGGTAGTTTCCACTTGAGACCATTACAAATAGCATGTTGTGTGAATATCCTAGTGCGTGTATATTGGTGCACATGGGTTCACATTTTGGTTGGGTTCACAGAACTACTGTGCCATACAATAGGTACATGTTCCTCTCATAGATGCTGGAGGGCAGATGTCCAACCTGTGTGTATTGATTTGACTCCCACAGCAGTGGGTGAAAGTTCAGGTTGCTCCACGTTGCCACTAGTAATTTATGTGGTCCACCATTTTCATTTTAAACATTGCATGTGGATTTTAATTTGCATTTCTCTGGTGAATAATGATGACAATTTTTTATATGTATACTGCTTTTTTGTAGAGTGTGTATTCAAGGTTTTTGCCATTATTTCTATGAGGTTGTCTTTCCTATTGAATTGGCTATTATGGATACAATATATGTATTATGAATGTCTTCTGTCACTCTGTAATCCTTCCACTTTATGGTGGAGAAACCAAGGCCCTATAAGGGAAGTAGATAGCCCAATGTAAGGTAGTGAGTCCATAGTTGAACTTAGAGAAGACATGCCATCCTTTGGAGCTATGGCTACCACAGGCTTCCTCCTACAGTCTCCTCTCCCTCTTTTGCACCTTCTTTCTAGCTCTTCCTCTCTCTCCGTGTTCATCTCCAAACAGCTCAGAAACATACTGCCCTGATTCCCATCTTAAAACACCCTACATGCGTCTTCTCTCCTCCCAAAACCCCCTGCCCACTGTCCTGATTCTCAATCCACCATCCCAGCAAGGCTCATCCCAGAGCTGTCTGCACTTGCCCTCTCTTGCTTCCACACTTCTCTTTCTCACCTTAGCCCACCCAATGAGGCTTTTGTGCCTCTCTCTAACAAAGATGCTGTCCGACTTCAGACCTTCCCCC